ATAGTTACCTGATTACAGCCGGACGACCACTCATATTAATAGTCTCTTTTGGCTTTGTTGTAAATGGCTAGTCGCTTCAATTAATGTCACATTTTCTCCTTACAGTTAAACTTCGAATGTGGATGAATTGTGAGACCATCCCAGACCCTCATCCTAAACGAGAGACATCAAGGACGGTAACTATAGCCTCTCAAGGTACCCAGGCTTGTGTTGAGGAGCTGGGAGTTACTGGAACCTCAGAAAGAACGGATCTAGACACACAGGATACCCAGGCAGGAAGCCACGAAAGGGTAGTTACTGGAGTAAAGCGTAAGGCGGTGGAGCCTGTTATATCCGCTGGTCTACAACGAGCAGGAAGGTCAGAAAACGTCGAAGAAGCAGGTGTTGGAAGCGATGTTGTACCCAACTCACAACGAGTTATGAATTTCATCGCACACAAGTACTTTCAGACAGTTGACACAACCAAACCAGAGGAACTGAGTGCTTTTCTACAGTATTTAAGAGAGGTACGCAAAGTTCTGGTCCTGGATTCTCAGACAGGAAGTTTGATATTAACAGTACTATGTACTTCACTGGAGATACTGGACGCCCTGTGGTATGACTATTGCACAGGTCACCTGAATGATATGGCACAGAAATATCTTGTGACAAAGGACYTTCTGAAGGAGTTTGACCTTATTGAGGTGAATATGACGACAACTATTCAGATGGAGGATTACATGGCGGCACGAAAGTGTTTTTTGCAGGGTTCAGGTGAGCAGGTACAAAATGCGTCGGAGAGCTGCCTTTAACCGAATAAATGGAGCATCCTCTTTTTTAGTGCTTTAAAACACATCAGCATAGGTTTGCTTGTTATGTTTTTTTTATGCTCTCCCCCCGAACCTGTTACAAATTTATTCTTTCACTAGATTCAGACAGGTCACTATCATTCAAGAGAATGAACAACGAGAGGATATTGTCTCGATAAAATTTTACGCCGATTTAAAGCAAACTTCTTTTAATGACCGGCAGAGAAATGTATGGTCATCAGTTTGAGAAATATACTTTATCGATCTGGACCGGAAGAGAAGGGTACTTTATGTGACCCCTCGGTTAGGTTGCTTTATACTGATTGACAATTTGGTGTTGGGAGTGACTGAAATTCTCAAGAAAGACAGAAATATATTCGTGAATGATAAAGCTTTCTATAATCAATCACTTATCCAATTTGATAGGGTCAAGGCGTCTGATAAGGTTACCTGGGGCAGCTGTAGTCCTAAATCAAGCCTATTAGATTTTTCTTTTTATATTTGCTTTCAGATTATGGTCCATTTGGCATGAATAGTAGCAGAAGTATGGAAATCGGCCGAGACTCAACATCCTTGGAAAATCTCGACGATATCCCACGAGGACCACTCGAAAAAGGTTCAGTTAGCTTACCGCAGAGTCACCCGGAAGGAGGTCTTCGAGGTGGCGTGCAAATCTTTTTGACATTACCCATTGGAAAAACGATCACTTTGCAAGTGAAACCCTCAGACCCGGTCGAGAGTGTGAAAGCTTTTATTCAACACAAAGAAGGAATCCCACTGATTCAGCAACGTCTGCTCTATGCCGGTAAACAACTTGAAGATGGCCGTACTTTAGGTAGCTACAATGTTCAGAGGGAATCAAGTTTACACTTACTTGTAAAAATTGGTAGTGCCATGCAAGTCTTTGTGAAAACATGTACTGGAAAGACGATCACTTTGGAAGTGAAACCCTCAGACACCATAGAGAGGCTGAAAGAGAAAATTCAAGACAAAGAAGGACTGCCACCTGATCAGCAATGTTTGGTCTGGTCTGGTAAGCAACTTGAAGATGGCCGTACCTTCAGTGACTACAATATCCACAGAGACGCGACCTTGCACTTAACTTTTAATAGTGGTATGCAAATCTTTGTGAAAACACTGACTATGAAGACGATAACTTTAGATGTAAAACCCTCAGACTCCACAGAGAATGTGAAAACGAAAATTCAAGACAAAGAAGGGATCCCAGCGGGTCAGCAAGGTCTCGTCTATCGTGGCAAGCTACTTAAAGATAACCGTACTTTGAAGGACTACAACATTCAGGAGAAATCGACTTTACACTTAATTAGAATACTATGCAGTCTTCATATCACGGTGTAGTTTCCCAGTGGAAGGAAGAGATCTTTAGATGTCTCACCAAGAGATAATTTTGAGAGCGTGAAAAAAATAATCCATGATAGAGAAGGGATTCCCATTAATCAACAACGCCTTAGCTTTGCTGGAAAAGATCACCTTCCTCTGAGTGAATACCACAATCAGACTGAATTTACCTTACGACTGGATGTGAAACATCAGAGTAATAGGCTTCATCTGAAGACACAATCTGGAAAGATGACGATCACAATGGACACTGTATCGGGAGATAACATCCGGGACGTTAAAAGGAGAATAACAGAAGAGATGGGAACACCGGCAAATCAGCTACAACTCATGTTTGACAACCAGGAACTTAAAGCTGAACAGTGCAGTTTGGAAAGCTACCACATCACTAGAGATTCAGCCGTCGAACTTGTTATCAGAAGAAAACATTTTATCAAAATACACTCTCACGTATAGAAGCAGAACGGTTTTAAAATCGTAAGAGATGCATAACCGGAGGATAACTTCACAAATATAAAAGGGAAAATTAAGGACATAACAACAACACCGGTAAAAGAGCAAGTGATCATTTTTGATGACAGAATATTCGAAGGTGACAACAAACTGAGCGATTTTGATATAGAGCATGAATTCGCGCTGTCTTTGATCACACTTCCGACACTCACAACAATTGCACCGTAAGTTGATTGGATTAAGCTCACCAAAAATCCTAAATTACGGTGCCACATTTTGGAGGACAACGAGATTTTACCTGATATCACCGGTACCCCAACCTGGAAACGAGAGTGGAATGAGTTAAACGCGATGTTTCATGATCATTGAACCCATTCAGCTCGTTAGATAAATGTGATCATGAAGATAGCGCTGATCAGGGAACAATTTTTGAGCCTGCATTTAGTTCCGAGATAGCCAATCAATATGGGATAGTTTCTTGCATGTAGTTAAGATCGTGACTCAAATAGATATTTCAAATCAGTTTCCGAGTGAGGACTGGAACTTATCATTTATCACTCGGTAAAGGTCCATAATATAGACGGAAATAATAGGCTCCAATCCTTACTCGGAAACCTGATCTAGGTCACGACCTCGTAGTTAAGCTGTTGTGACAGGAAACATTTTAACTACCATGGGAGGGGGATGTTCGGAGGTTTCTGGTTGTGTCTTAATAAATTATCTGATCCCCTCCATAAGGTTTTGCACTATTTACATGATCTGCCTCCCCCCTTAGTTTTCTTTAGTCACCCCTTTATACTCTGTGAGCGACAGCTGATAGGCTCCTCCTTTCCCCTTTTAACCATGTGATCCCAAAACCCCCCCACCCTTTCTCCCCTTGGGCGGCAAATAATGACTGGTCCCTCATCGCTGGTGTAATGAGAGAGACATCAAAATTATTATGAACTTAAATATTTCCCTATGTCAGATCGATGTCGTCGGTAAAACAAATCTTCAATTTGTTTTGATATATTTCGGCGTCGTAAGACTGAGAAATGACACAACAGGTGTTAAATGTCCAGTTTTCTATTGAAGGAATTGTAGTTCTTCGTTAAATTCTATAGTTTGTTTGGATGAATTTCTTTGGATGAGTTTGTTTGGATGAGCTTGTTTGGATGAGAAATTCGAGAAAGAAATACACCTTTAGCTTTCGAGCTTCCGAAACTTTGGCCCAGGCACCCCTCTCTCCCTCCTCAGAAATATACGAAGAGATAGGAGCTTGGAAACGACGTTTTTCATTTTCCTTGCAAGGCCTTCCGAAGAAATATTCCGCTGGTTAAAAACCGAATGTATTTAGTATAAAAAAAACTTCTATGGGGTAGGTAAACTTTATGGGGCAAGTCATAGAATGGTGTTCCGCTTAAAGGTAACTTCGACTCTTAAAACAAAAAGCCTACGGGATAAAAGGTTTAGCGATGTCATGTTAAAAATTACAAAGTCTTCTTGATCAAGCCGGCAGTATTTGACGAAAAATTGACACATACTGGAGCCTGTTACATTAGAATGAAGGTTGAACTCGAAGTAAAAAATCGATGCAACCTCTTGATCATGATTCCAAGTAATTTCTTTTGTTGAGATTCACTATTACATGGTTAATTTCAATAATAACGAAAACTATATTATGCCGAAACAGTTCAATCGAACTCTTGTTTAATCTCCTTTTTATATCAAAAACGGATACTCTCTTAGAACCCGCACAATAATCACCGGGAGTTTAATATAAGGAAATCCTATTTCTCTAAAATTGAGAAGTTTTTTCGTTTTTTCTTCAATTCCTTTTCTTTTCAAACGACGCGAGAAGTGCTTGAGGCGATCTATAATAATATTTATATTTAAATTTTCTGGGTTCATCTTAACAGGTTTATGTTTACTTAGTCTACAGGGAAAAAAGAAAGCTTTCAGTAATTAATATTTATAAATTTTAAGCAGTTTTTCTCCTTGAGGCGCGTATTATGTCGAAATTCTTCACCACGATAGCAATAAGATTTTCCTCAATTCTTTCTCGAACTTTCCCGATAAGACAGCTTGTTTCACGAAAGCTTTCCTTCGCACGGAAATTTCTTGCTCTGTTAAAGATTATGCTAAAGCTACAATTTATAGACTTTTGATGGTTCTCATTGGGAACTAAATAAAACTAAAACGATACGTTCCTTTGTGCTTTGCACGTTACGTCATTGCCGCCATGTTGGTAGACGTAAACAATAGATATCTCATTGGCTCCTTTTGTTCGTCCACCAGCATTTGTTCCTTTTACTAATTGTTACCTGTGTCTCTAGAGATTGGTTGCAAACCATCTCTGGTTAACCTTTGTACGTGTAGCTACATCCTATTTTAGCTCTTAGCAAATAAAATTTTGAAGGCCATCAAACGTAATGATGAGTTCATTTTGCGTGGTCGTGAGCTGAATAATCCTTTTATCAATTACAGCACCCATTTGAATTGAAGTCATAACGTCAAAATAATTATTTCACTGAAGTCAAAGGAAGTCTTAAAATTAACGTCAAAAAAGAAAAGGGAAAAGAGGCTTCTACTAAAGTTCGCACTCAATGACATCATCGCCCTTTATAATTTAGATTACATCTCAATTTCCCCCGACCACCGGTCTTCGACCCACATCGCGTTCAAGATCACTCTGCAACCAATAAAAAACATTGGATTGAAATCGAACGTCATTTTTTGCGTGTTTTTGACGTCACAAGACAAGCACGTATGTCATGAAAATAGGAACCCGAGATCACAGCGTATAAATACGAAATGCCAAAATCTGTGAAACGAGAGCAGTCGGCGCAGTGAAATTTAGACGCTCCTTGTTAGAATTCGCGTTGGTTGAAAATGGGAAAGCGAAAACACAGTACCGATAGCGGAGAAGAAAGCGACGATTCTTGTAAACGGCTGAAAAAAGAGGTACGATTTGGGGAAGTCACAATCTACCATTTCCCCAGAAAGCAAGGTTTTGTTTCCGTGCCTTCGTCGGGAGGTACTACTTTGGGAATGGCGAGAAAGCATGTATTGATAGAGAAAATCCAAGTCGATTTTGAAGTGGACGGTGTTACAACAGGCGATCGAAGACCCTTCGCACCCGTAGCGCAAAAGACAAGGAAAAATATTCTTAAAACTGCCGGCGTTCGCCGGATTCTCAAGAAAGAAGAACAAGATTGCGCTCAGCTGAGGTTATCGCGAATCATTTGCGGTTGCAGCTGTGGGGATATTTGTTACCCGCAAACATGTGAGTGTATTTTAAGTGGGATAGCCTGCCAAGTTGACTACGGCCGCTTTCCTTGTTCTTGTCAGGCAAATGGCTGCCAAAACAATCACGGACGAAAACAGTACAACCCAAGCGTCGTTGAAAAACATTATTTTGAAACATTCTCCCGGCTAAATGGGCAAACTACAAGCAAAACTGTTCTCCAGTACGTGGGAATAGCGTAGTAATAGGAGAATTGAAAATATTATTATTTTGAATTGTATATTTCTTGATGCATATCGGGCTCATTGATATGCTAAACAAAAGAGCGACATTCTAAAGAACTTAAGGGGTTTATTAATACATCTATTGTGACTATGTATAGAAATGTTCCTTTCTTTCCGTGGCCTCGGTTCTATAGCATGTTTTAAGTTATTTATGAAAATTTGATGCGAATGAATATTATTGTCTAAATAAAACGATCTCTTACTCATATAGTTTGCCAATAAAGCCATTTCTCGGTCAAATGAAGTTAATTTTATCCAGACCTCACCACATTGAGATTTCGTCGGGAATTTCCGTTTCCTGTTGTGACGAACGTGAGCGTTATTTTTACACCGGAGGTGACCGAACCGACCAGAAATGTCACGAAAAGTCACGCGTTACAAATCTTCATGTCTCCGGTTTATAAAGTTTATTAACAGGGTGACGAACGCGCTTTGTATTCCTCTAAAGATAAAGCAATAGTGCGATTTCAGAAGGTCAGCGATGAAGGATTTTTTTATTTTATTCGTTTTCGAGCATGGGAATATTTTGAATTTTGCTAAGGAGGCGGATATACTGCGATTACGTTAAAACATTCCAATACGTGCCGCGGAGTCGCTTGAGTGTTTTCCTAAAAATATAACTCCGGTCGATTTTAAGTAAAAAAATCACGTCTTAAATAGGGATTCAAAAGAGATTACCAAGAACTCTAAAATGGCGTGTATTTCGAGGAGAGTCGAAAAGACAGTGAAAAAAAAATCGTTTCTGATCTTCTTGATATAACTTGCAACACAATTAAACTAGAAAGCGGGGCTGTTTCGCTGGCGTTCGTGGGTAAAACCTTCAAACTTCATTTCTACTATTTCCTCGTATTCGGTCTTCGATACCCTCTGAAAGGCGAGAAGGGGGCGGAGGGTACTAGGGTGGCATGGGCTTATTCCCGAACAGGGGCTAGAAATCGAGCCTTGAATTGGGGATCATCGGATTATCGAGGGAAAGGGAGAAAGTGAGAAATCTTATTTATCTTGGATCCTGTTATGTTACATAAGAAGACACTGCGATCAGAATTTAGGAACACCCGATCAATCTAACTTCAATGTCCCTTTCCCAGCAAAGTTAATTTACAATTTTACTTTCGAACATTAATTAGTAAGTTACCACTTACGATTTTGTCCTCATCGCCGGAAAAGGGACTATTCACACGTGAGACGGCCGCGAGTGAAACACGAGTGTGCGCCGCGCGGGCTCCTGGAGCCATTCTTGGTCATGTGATTTAAATGCTAAGGATATGACTTGTTTGCATAGACACTAAGAGCTTGAGTTTGGCAGTAATCTTTTGACTGGTTGACTTAGACAGATTTAGACTTATTCCCGGATTGTTTAATGAGATTATGGATTAAATATTATCCGTTCCTTTCGCCAATCAAAACCTCAGTCCATGAAAAATTGACTCTCGGTTAGAGCTCCAACGCTCGCATTTTTCCAAGGCCAAGGATCAGTATAGATGAAAGTTGTTCAACCGTTTCGGCTTTCAGATGCGCCTGTGCAAGTAACGTCGTCGTAATCTCATGAACAAATATGGAGTGGACGCTCATTTCGTCTAAGCATAGGATTTTCGTCTGTAAAACATGTCGCACTTAAAAAAGCAAAGAGTTCACGTTTAGAATATGTGGAACTGCTTGGAAACGTCAGCAAAGTTAAGTCTTACTGCTAGTGCTCTGACGGAAGTAGAAATGACGAGAAAATTCGAGAAAAAAAATCAAATTCCCGTTTTTGGAAACAAATGACTTGCTCAATTTTGCCACTTTATTTAGTTTGGCTCAAATTTCTTTTACGATTTGTTTGTGCATAACAAGGAAGTCAAGCTGGCTGTAGTAATTTTAGTAGTCAATGTAAATAAAGGGCTTGAGGGCAGTAATTAAGCTATGATAATAAAGTGAGCTTAAGCCTACAAAGCTACGCAAGCGAAATTTTAAATCACTTGGACGCCCCCCCCCCAACAAAAAAAATAATAAGGTGATTTTTTAAGAAAAAGAATTAAAGTTTTTTTCTTGAAAATCTCTCTCCCTGTTTTTGTCAATCAATCTAGTAGTATGTATAATCATTGACTTTGTAATTCTTATTCACTGTGAAATTTAATCAGCACAGGTCAAAAGCGTGTCAAATTTATGCAAAAAACAATGCAGAAAATTAGGAAATTAAGGCTTGGAAGGAAAACCATAAAGATCAGAAAGAAAATCCTGAATGAAAGAGAATGGTTGACCCTAGCTATTGCTCTGTCTTTGAGCTAAATGCTAAGTGACCGGAAAGAAATTTCTCCTTTTAAAGTCAATGCATTTTAAAGGAGGTTATGAGAAGTGAGAACACATCAGCTCGGGAGGGTCGTTTCATTTTAATTCGTTTGATTTAATATAAGTTCTCAGAGTTGAAAGTATTGGAGTGTATTGGAGAGGCTTTGGAGAGTTGATATCTTGATTTGAATGGGTTTTAACGGAGAAGGTAACCACAGAGTAGCCTGGTTGATAAACCTGCTAGGTAAAATCTTAAAATTGCACAAAACTGTGATACATCTCCTCTCCAATTCCTTTGGAGAGACCAAGGAAATAAACCAGAAATAGAAAGATTTGAATATGTTTACGAATAAACAAATAAAAAGTAGATAAACAAATGACCAGTTTAACCATGAAATGAAAAGCAGCAACCAAACCTTATACTGTTCCAGTTTTTGTCTTTGTGGCCTCTATGTTAATTTCGATATGGGTTTTGATTATTACAAAAAAATTTGAAAATAGTTTGTGCAATATCAAATCTTACCCACAACTTTTCTGAAAAATTCTAGTTCATTATTAATTAAATCACTAAGTATATTGCATGGGATCATTAAACATCAAAATACTCATACTTCAGCAGATTTTCCATCGAAACTGATTAAATAATGACGATGTTGTAGTGGTTGAATTTCTATTTCATAGTGTGTATGGCAGCTGCTCTGATTAATTTTTCGTGAAAGTTCCATCATAGTGTTGGATGCATGATATATGCAAATCACGGGCTTAGTCGAGCCTTAATCGTAATGCATGTTTACAAACACGGCAAAACTCGTTCTTTCTTCATTGTTTCGCTTTAATTTTCTGGTCTTAAAACGGTTACAAGGTTATATACAACAATTTGAATGAACTTCTAAACGTATTATTTTTCTTTTGTCAATTAACATTAGTGAGGGAAAATTGTTCGTGTTCGTATGATAATGCAACTAGGCCTATAATGTACATTACTCGCTTCGCAAATCTCCTTTAAAAAAAAAAGCACGGCTTGTTTATTTAAATATCGTCGATTGTATCTGTCGAATTTATGAAGGGAAGTCAAATTTTCCTGAAGGAATTTTAAATTAAAGTTAATTTACATCGCTTGAAAACTCACTTCCTTCTTTATTTACCGTTGTCACGTGACGCATTTGTCACGGGCGAATACTTTGGCCGTTTTGCCGAAAAAAACTTCGCTTCCTGCGAAGTTTGGATTCTACGTGGCGACGTGTGAAAAGCGATTTTTGCTAACTATAACTCCGAGGAGTTATTCCGGCCGTCTAACAAACGAAACTTCGTTAGCTTGTCAGTTGTGATAGCCAGCCAGTCGTACGGGATTACTCGGCGAGTCCATTTTAGTAGCCAACCGCGTCGGCCATTTTCCTTGTGGTATGGAACTTGCTGGGACGAATATTGTACACGTTTTATTGCGCATTGGTACGATTTGGGAAACCGAATAAGCTAGGTAAAGACTTCATTTACGAGCCTGTTTTTCTCTGTCTCTTTTTAAACTTTTCACGTTCCCAAGTTGTTTAGGACAAGATGTTATAATACTTGTACAAGCTCAACACAAAACACATTCAATGCACAGAGTTTCTGGAGGAACAACATAGCTACCGGAAACGACGTTAATTTTTTTCGATGGCTACAACAAGAACTGAATACGGCAAAGAGAACAGATTCCGCGCTCGTCGTGAGGTGGCGAGTCGCCCAAAAGTGGAGAACGAAAGTTCTCGGAGTCAAAGCTCAACTGTAGCTGTTCGCAAAAATCTTGTTGACACCAAGACAAAGCGAACAGCGGGCAGCCCAAACATGGGAGATGTTAAAGAGGAGAGGCACAGAGCGTATAACAAATTTGGAGCACCTCCGAAAAAGATTATCTCTACCGATAAAACACTTATTTTCCCTCTAAAAAGTGACAATGTGGTGCGAACGACGAAATCCCGCGATGTGAAATCGGGTATGCAGCGGAAACCGGCGAAAGAGACTGAACAAGCGAATGACAACGACAAAAGCAGCACTGAACAAGTCAACAAACCAAATGTCAGCAAACTTAAACACATTTTTGATGAGACTATTGCAAATGAGGCTATTAAAGCACAGCAAACTTACAAGAAACCCAGGCCTGTCTCGGAGGCTTTTGACAGATTGAAGGCAAACCATGCAAAAGACACGTCACAAGGTGAAACCACAGAACGATGGTCCTTACCCAACTATTACAAGAAAACATTACCCCAAACCCCTTCGCACAAGCCACATGTGTCTTCAGGGATTGCTGCAAGGAGGGCTATGTTTGAAAGTGGTGGCTCAAACGAAGATTTACCAAAGAAGGAGAAAAGGTCACCAAGTTTGCTAGATCTTGTTCCAGATTTGAAAGAGTTAGATGTCAGTCTGCTTGGCAACAATGACCCTGCCCCTGTGCAAAGATCTCGTACACGATCTGATCCAGGAACCAAAAGACCTTTGTACTTCATAAAATCTCGTAAACGCTTTCCATCAGACACTAAAGCTATGAATGGGGAGTATCATGATAACACTGTTGACAAGCTTAAGCAATCTCGAGATGACTCTGTTTTAAGGAAGCCGCCAGTTGATACCAGGCGCCTCTTTAAGTCTCACAGTGTTGATCATATTCATGGAAGTCCATTGATATCAAATTCAGACATAGGAAAGACTATAGAAAGCTTGAGTGAACAGCAACCCTCCTCTACAATTCAAGGGGATGAAGAACAATCCTCCATGTTGGAAAAAAGCTGTGAAGCTGAGACAGAAGTCAAAGCTGAGGATCACAAGCTAGCATCTCCCAGTGTTCCAAAAGGATTGAAATCTCACCGAAAGGAGGAACCAAAGGATGATCTCTTTGATGACACCCCAGGGAGAATCCGTGAAGCTTCTTGGATAGATGAAGAAATTCCAAAGGAAGAAACTGCTCCAGTAGAAATGTCACCCATAAGCATTACACCTGGCTTTACATCAGTACCTAAATCAAATATTCTGGAAGATAAAGTTAACTCAGAATCTCACCCAAAGCATGACAGTGTGTACTTCCTAAAGAATGAAGAAACCCAATCCCATAATGAAGAAACTGAAAGTTCTGGAGACGAGAGCACTGGAAGTGTTGTTGAGCACAGTGATGTTGATGAAGAAGATCGTGCGCATCTTCAAACAGTGTCTCCTGTATCATTACTTTTCTCAGCTAAGCCAGCATCTTCAGCTTTGTCCAAAGAAAAAGAGAAAAAAGGTAGAAGGAATGTTGGATTTAATTTGGATACTCCTGATCTGTTTCTGACGTACAGTGCTGAGGAATATGATAGGGGCAATGATGGTATTGATCCAGTAACTGCCTCTGCAGAGTGGGAATTGGAAAAAAGGGTAGAAAAGATGGACATTTTCTCTGTAGACTTGTGCAAAGGTAAGCTTAATTCAATGTTGTAATGCTCCTAACCTTTCAACTTCCAGGAGTGATTAACATGTAACTTCTCCCTATAATATCCATACATTATCCAGCAAACAGGTAATGAGAATACTCAAATTTATCAGGTAAAGTTTTTATCTTGATCTCATGCTAAATTCCTATAACCAATTTACAAGGAATGAATAGCAGGTAGAGGGGAGAAATGGTAATGAGATCTTAGGAATTAGAGGTTTATACCTTTTACTCTTTAAATTGAGGTATAAGTAATTTCTCTCAACAATATCAAAGAATTTCCAAACATAAACATGATGAAGATAAAGAAAAATATCTAATGTATTCCTCTTCAGTCTCCCTTTTTAAGAGTGGGCACTGACTGCAAGCCTCTGTCTTTACAGACGTACATGTGATTTAACCAGAAATTCTAAGAATTATTAAACGATAAGTGTATGGCAGACTAGGCAATGCTTCTATGGCATTTGTAGGAAAATTCTAATTATAAAGATCATGGTTTTATGCTACCGGGTCCACTTAAAGACCCTTTTCCCCCGCTCTCTAGAGGTCCTTACTGGAGTTCTAATAGTTTTCTTAAAATATAATAACTATTTTGTCTTTTCAGATGAGAGAGGTCTGGGATTAAGTATAATTGGTTTAGGTGTTGGCACTGACACGGGGGTGGAGAAGCTGGGGATATTTGTCAAGTCACTTACAGAGGGAGGGGCTGCTGCAATTGATGGAAGGTTTGTTTGAATTTCTTCTGGATATGTCTCCAGTAAACATTTGTGACATCTTACAAGTACTGGTAACCAGGGATTGTAGGGTCTGACTATGCTGGTGGGAAAGGGAAATGGTAAATTTTCCATTACTTAACCCTCTAACTTCCCTTGAGTGACCAGGAGAGAATTTCTCCTTACAATATCAATGCAATATCAAGCAGACAAGTGATTAGAACAAAGAAGAATATCACTTAAGGGATTATTTGTTGATCCAATGCCAAATTCGCCGAAACTAACATCATAGGAATTGTGTGGTGGAGAGTAAGGAGAATTACCTTATATAATAGAAGATTACATGATGTAGCCGTGTCAATATATAAAGTTAAAAATGATCTGTGCCTAAATAATATTAAGAACTAGTGTGACATTAATAATAATAGATGTAATTTAAGAAACAATGATTTCATTATTCCCAGAGTAAGCACAACACGCTATGGTAAGCATTCTCTTAGGTACTTAGGTCCAGTAATCTGGTCTAAGTTAGATGGAAAAACAAGAACACTAAGAACACTACAAGAATTTAAAAGTGCTTAACATACATTAGTAATACAAAGTTTAATCTCTTCGGACAATTGCAAGAACTGTATTTTATGTAAATCTTAATATTTTATATTATCAGTATTGTATTTCTAATCTTTTAGGTAATTTTAATTACACAGGGTAGGGTAGTACATATATATAGGGTCAACTATACGGGGCAGGATTGCATATTTTATGCATTATATATATATTAGATTAGTTTAGTTTAGGTTTCTTTATTTATTGGGAAACTGCTATTGATTTGACTCATTAATAAAGTTTATTATTATTAATAAAGTTTATTATTATTGTTATTATTATTAGAGATCTTGAGAGTGAAAGGTTTAAAATAATGCCATCATGCACAACAACCTGTTTTGCAGGCAAGCAGGTATCAAAAATGAATTTAGATGTGGATGAATATGAGTAACAAATTCAATCCGTGTGTTACATGAGGCCTGAGAATCGATTCTGACTACAGCAAGCTCACTTTTTTTCTATCCTCCTCTTCTAAACGTTTTTCTCTTCAATACTTCTGTCAAATGAATAATTCATGACTGTTCTTTCTTGCTGTTAGTTATCTTTACTCTTGTAAGCACTGCTGTCATATAGTACAGTGTGACTGCATCTACAGTCCAGATATATAAGTTGTATGCTCCCCTTTCTGCTTTCACAGGGAACAGTGTACATAATGATCAATATAAAGTATAGTGATCAGTAATTAATCTTTTCTCTAACAGAATACAAGTGAATGATCAGATAGTTGAGGTTGATGGAGTCTCTCTCGTTGGAGTAACACAAATATTTGCTGCACAGACTTTAAAGAACACAAATGGGCTTGTAAGGTATGAAGGCTGTGGAATTTTTTCAGTTAAAGAAGTGGAAATTTTTTCAATGGAAGCTGTCCTATCATTTGATCATGACCGAGATTTCAGGACAGTCGTGGATTCTTTCTTAGGGGTGTCACTTGTAAAATTGACTGAGCCATGGTTTTCTCTATTCTTATATACTCTCTCCCCATCTATACTTTTCGGCAGACATGCAAATAAAGAGTGGTAGATCAAGAAGAAAAGTACA